TTCCTTATCGCACAGCCGTCAGGTAAACAGTGCGTTGAAATTGTTCTCTCAACGGAAGCGTTTCCTCGCTACGTTTATTCGGCAATTTTATACCGCCGTTCTCCATGCCGCGCGAAAATTTATTTCGCAAAAGCGAACAAACTCTCGCGAATAAAAGCAGCGATGAAGAAATTGCGTCTGTCTCTCTTTCTTTTTTCCCCAATTTCTTTCTTTCAATTTATTTCTCAAATTTGCGTATATATTATAAAATATAATTGAAAAAAACATCGAATACAGATAAAAAATTGAAAAAGTGTGTTGAAACATAGATACAGTAAAATTTTACGTACAAACTTTATATGAGAAAGTCTCAAGCTATACTTATTCTATCTTTTGACTCATCTTTCCCACCGGCTTTTCCGATTGTATCAACAATAACGAACGGGCCACCCAGTATACAAGGTGGATACGGGAACCGGCTTGTTCAATCGATCGAAATTGGCTAATTCAACGAGGATAAAACCGTCCTGCATCGGCTTGGCTAATTACTGATGTTGTGCCGCTGCAAAGGCGATCAATGTTTTCAACCTCGTAAAATTAACCGGTTTACCAGAAAAATCGTTAATTGGTGGTCAAAGTGGTTAAAGCTGGAATTTTTAATTGCAGTTTTTTTTTTGCAAAGAATTGAGAAATGCAAAATCCTTTATTATCAATTATTTTTCTATTTTAAAAAAGACATAAATGATTAAATATTAAAATAAAATAAATCTTAACAAGAACATTATGTTTTATCATTTACAATCCCTCCAATTAATATTTCACACGATTCACTTGATAAAAATAACTAAACATACACAAATTATTAATGTTTAATCATTGATTTCTCTTTTAAAACTAAGATTTAATCATTTTTTGTTCTCAAATATGCATATAATAAAATATAATAATATATAATTGATATGGCTGTCAAATTAATATTTAAGCAAATATTATAAAAGAAATTTTAAAAAGAAATTAGTTAAGAAATTCAAGTTAAACTTCATCGTTTTGCAATGACTGCATCTATTTCAATCTGTCACAACACTACGCGGCATGTTCAACTGACTTCGCAATCACGCAATTCTATTTCTTGCTTCTTCCATATGAATAAGGTATTACCTAGAAGCATAAATTTTCGACAAATTATTTCTTAGACCTCCCTCGCAACGGACATTCGGTCCACATTGTCTACAAAATCGTCAAGTGACATCGTCGCTCTGTTTTGAATTAACAAGCACAATGCGCGCCATTTTGCCGGGCACTTCAAAATTGCAGTCGTCGCGTCGCGCTACCGACAAGTTCAAATTCCACCTGTTCGCATTGAAATGTATCATGTACACATCCAAGTATGAACGCGAGGAAGATCGGAGTTCAGCGGCTACATTTTAGAGTAGAAGTCGGGAGGTAGCGCAACGAAAAAGAGTGGCGAAGAAAAAAGATCAAGAAATATATAAATATATATATATATATATATATAGAGAGAGAGAGAGAGAGAGAGAGAGAAATATGTGACTTGATAGGATACTCACCGAGATCTTCCACGAGGCGCAGCATGACACCGCCGATATGCAGCTCTCCCTTCACGCGTAAACTCCTTTCGACCTGCAGATCCGTCACGTAGACGCGCAGCACCCAGCTGCCGTCCACCTCGTGGCCGTCGGAGTACATGCCGGAGTACGCAATTTCTCTCTTCTCTTTTTTCCTCTTTTCTTCTTTCTCTCCTCTTCCTCTCCTTCGCCGAACGGCGATGTCAACGCAAACAGGCAGGAGGGAACGGGAAATCGGTCGGTCGGCGAAGAGGTCCGGTTTCGCACACGCATACGATACACTACCGGCGCGGTCGTTCCTCGTACGTTTAACGAGAGTTTCGCGCACGGTTCAACGTCTGGTGAACATGTCACACCACCGAGTAACGTCCACTATTCGTTTGTTCGTCCGTCCGGCTCGGCGACGACGAGTACGACGACCCGACGACCGCCACACGCAACGCACTACTGTCGCGCGACGACTGGTCGTCCTCCTCGGCGGCCTTCCTTTCCTGCCCCACCGGATTCGCCGCCGCTGGCCGCATACACGAATACACACGCGTGCGTAATCGCGTGGAAACGAAACGGCGGAACCGAATAGGACCGAGAGGATCAAGGCACTGCGCGCGCGAACCCACCACCACCACCTTTCATTCGCTCGGAGCCCGAGTCACCCGAGTGAAGTCGGGCGCAGGAAAGCCGAACGCGACGGGAAACGTCGCGTCGGTCATCTTCGACGTCGCTCGGCCGCGCTCGACTCCGCGCCGCGTTCGTACGTTCTCTCTCGAATGAAACGGTTACCGTGCTCGCCGTTGTAGCGAGAATATTTGGCCCGATTTGGAGACGGCGATGTGAGAAAGCGGATATTAATGAAACGACCGAATGAAGAACACTCTGTGACCGAAAGCGAACGACTTTGTGAGGCAACTCCTGTTTCTATACATTTTCATGAACGTTTAATTATAAGTATATTTAAATTTATGATATCGTTCTATCAAATAATACTTGAAAATTCAAAATGATATTTCTAAGCCGATCGGAAGGATCAGTTTTTTGACAAAAGATAACGCGAATCAATTTCACTTAGTAAGAAGCAAACTGAAGTGAACGCCCAGCTAACGAGAATGGATTAAAATGGATTGAAATTTTGTTCTATCCGAATGCGCGCGTATTTTAAATAACAAATACTTTTTTTTGGATTTAATTGGATTCAATTAGATTCAATTGGATAAAATTGAATCGAAAAACTGCATTTCTTATTCAAAATTTTGAATTGAACAGTATTCACAATGCACAGAAAAAGCTAATGTTATTTTCAGATTGAAAGACATGGAGATATGCTCCATACAATTCTTATAAATAAATAAAAATGCATTGAGGATTGAAAAGCATTCATTTTAACATTCGTGAATCAATATTTCTGAAAATATGAATCCGTTTCAATTCATTTCAATCCATTCTCGTTTGCTGGATGGTTTTCTTTTGCGTAAATGTTTTAACGTCGAGAACTTAGCTCACGAAATTCAAATTCGCGGTCTACTTCAATATAATCTTTTCCCGAAGCCGCGAAGTTTCAACTGAATTTGAGTAATTTCTTACCAAAATACTTTCCTGGTAATTTTTTTTCCATGGTCTCGTGCATTTTACCTTCGCGTTATTTCTTATTATTGAAATATTTTTTATATATACATATCTTTGTCTTACATAGAATTTGTTTCCTTTCTACAAAAATTGATTCTCTACTCTACATTATTTCGAATGTAAATTATTAAAGCGAGATTATCGAGAAACAAATAATTTATGAAATGTTATATATCTTTTTACAAACAAATAACATATATATTCAATATGTATAATATTTCCAAATATTTTTACTTTTCAATAACCTCATTTTAATATTTAAATTAATAATTGTTCGAAAACATAAAATTAGTAGGATTTAAACAAAAACCGAGATTATATAAAGAGTAATTTTTTTTACATGAAACTTTTAAAAGAATTCGTAAAAATAGTTATGGGAAATATGCAGGAGCAATATTAAATTGACAGTGTTAAATTGAAATTAATTTTGGATTAAATACAATAAAGCGGGTACTGCGGAAAACTCTCTCTAAAGTGAAATAGACGACCTTTGTAAAATACCTCAACTGACTTTATTTTCATAATCTACATTTATAGTACTGTAATGAATGAACATACGTTCATCCATTTTGTCCAGGGTGAAAAGTGCACGGCACTGAAAAACCGCATTCGTGTGAGTTTCCCCTTGCGATGAATAATCTCTTCATCCCAATTCGACAGAGAATAAATCGTGGGCAGCGTCATCTAACTAAGTTTCGCTAATCTATTACAAATGCTTTGAATTGTCTAGAATTCATAAAAATATTCACTCTCATGCTAAGCATTTACGTTGAGGATAAATAGTCGAGTTTAACGTGCCACGTCCTGTGAAGAACACTTTTCACCTGGGACGCAGAAAAACGATACTTACGCTGTATTTTGCCGTGCAATAAACGATCGTTTCTACCTAAGAGTACAAGGAAAGAATACTGCGTTTCGTCATGTCACACACTATACTTTACATCGCGTTTTCTCTTTCTCTCTTGCTCTTCTTCGCGGTAAAAAAAATAGTTGGTATTAGGCGCTGCCTCGTTTAACACCGCCACTTTTTTCTTTCTTCTTTACATCGCGGATATTACGTGTCGGACTGAAACGTATTTAAGGTCACAGCACACCTGGAGGGAATTGAACTTGCAGTCGCTTTACAGTCCGTAAATTCTTTGGTACTTAACACTTTTCAATGTTGTACTCTTAGATACCGCTAATGCGCTGCACAAGTTACTGAATCACAAAACAGAGGCATGCGCGACCCGATTCATTAATTAAAAAAAAGAAAGATTCGATAACTGTTAAAAACAATTATATTATAAACATATGAAGATCAGAGATGTAAGATTAGTTAAAAATATTATCGTTCAACTTCTATTGCACTGACTGATCTTGTTATCGGCAACGTCGATAGCTTAGTCTGGTTAACAATTTCCTCGTTTCTGTATCACAGCCTTCTGTCGCCGTAATAAAGAAAGAAACTTTAGTTAACCGACAATTTAGCAATTAACGCTAAAATGATATCGATGCAACCAATGACTACTCCCGTCAGTTTTCGCGTGCGTATGTGATCGAAGTTCAAGAACTGTGAGCTCGAATCCAACGATCCATCTGTTTTTTTTTTTTTTTTTGCGCAAGCAAAGACAAGTATCACGGGTGTCAGCGAGTAAGCGGAGTCTTATGAAAAAAAACGAAGATGAGGTAATGTTAGTTCGCATGTCTGCGCTATGACGCTGATCGTATTTTGCCGATCGCATTTCGAGAAACGGTGCTGTAGATCGGACTCATCGAGCATAATTCATCGTCGATAACATTTATATATATATATATATATATATATATAGTCCTTCGTGTTAGATAATAATAAACATTCAACATATAAGCAGCCAACGTCGCCGTTGTCATGACGTTAGACATTTTGAGATGTCGTAAAATCTATTTTAACATCGTTCCTTGCGCGCATATTCGTCTCGCGTGCAATTGCGCAAGTACAGAATGTTGTACTCGCAAGAGTTATTCGCGCAATATCATATCTCCTTCGATGTCTCAAATAGGACATTTTTTTAAGCATCTTCGGGATTACGGCTGCTCGCGTGATCCTCACACGTTTAATTGTTTGAAGTAATATCTGCAGTACACTGACATCATTGTCGGCGGCGCATCAATTTTGTGTAATAACTTCTCATCATTCTCGGAAAATTTCTCCAGCGATAAACTGTATTCCCTATCGAAGACGCCTGTAAGAATAAGAATTGTTGTTAGACAAACTAATGTCATAATCAAACTTGATAAATATTTCGATTATATTTAGATGATAGATATTTAGATTAATCATTTTAGAAATATCTTATATAAATTTGAAAAAGATTGCAATATTTTAATCATGTGCATATATAACCCACCTTGGTCAATATTCGTTCTTCCTAATACAGTAAATGCCAGAAACAAAATATCCCTGTATATAGAAAACGGATGATCGTCTGTTTGATGTTTACTTCTTTCTAAGGCCACTCTTAGTATAGGTTCCGCTAAGTCGTTGCAACGGACATATGTTATCACTGTCTGCATCAATCTAGAGCAAAAAAAAATTAGCAGCTTTAACTGTTCATATATCTATTTGTTCAAAGATAAACCTGATCAATCAACCTTCCTAATCCAGATAATCGTTAATTCTTTCACAATATCTATTTACACTTGAAATTTAAATATTATTAATGATTTGAAAAAAGATTTATTGAAACTTACGTTCTGTCTTCTGTGGAATTTGACTTCCATTGGAGATACATAGGCAAACGGTCCATGTGGAGTCGTTCGTTATCCCATATGGTTCTAACACCTACCAATCCTATAGTTCTTTGAAGTTCTGAGTTCTTATCGTTAGCCAACCACAGATCAGGTAAATGACTCGTTAAATTAATCCTTTCAAAGTACCATATCAAATTCCAATATACTATCGGGTGCTCTTGAATGAACTTATGCTTAGTGAGACACGCATCCCCCTCTTGACTCAATACACTTTCTAATTCTTTTCTCAAAACTAATGGATTTAGGTATGGTACGGTTATCGGTTCCAACGATTCTTTCGGTTGATCCAATAATTCTACCAGTGCTCCCATTAAAGGGTCACTATTCTTCTCGCTTACTTCGGATCTATATGAGACAAATTATTCTTAGTGATAACTTTATCACTAAGGACGATATCACTTACGCTATGGTCGCTTAGTCACCTGTAATCTAATATCGTAGCTGTGAGGAGGGGTACAGTAGCTTTGTCGCAATATTGACAGACTGTATTCAAGTTGGAATCTTCCGGCTGCCAACCAGCCATTATCTCCTCATCATACAGGATGGCAGCGCAATGATGACACCTACTGGCACTGGAAAGCACAAGCTCAATAGCAAGACGTTCCTCTAACTCTCTAGTGCCTTTTGGATACAGACACTCCGCGAGCTCGTACAGTGGACACAAATCTAAATTTCCATCACCTGATTGAAAGAAAAAAGAGATTAGTATTGAAAAAAGAGATTAATATAAATATATATATGATATTTGTTATTATTGTAGTTTATATTCCATACCAGATGCTCTTGTTTCGTTTCGATCTTGTATGGAATCAGTGAGAGAATCTAGAGATTCATGCGATACTCCATAAGCTATTTTTTGTTCACGTTCCTTATTTTTCACTGGCGTACTTGTCGCTGAAATGGCTTCTTTGATTTCATCAAATTTTTTTACCACAGTCGTTGCAGCGGACTTTAAGCTATTCAAACCACCAAGTATTATTTCGTTCGACTTTTTTCCTGTTAAACTCGACGGACTAAAATAAGAATTAATAGAAACATAGAATCTGGAATTTGCAGGGAAAATATCTTACATATTAAAAATATGTATTTTGTAATAATGTAGATGCATACAAAAGCAGAACGCACATGTCTAATGGGCATCTATGCAACTAACATACACATTACATACCTGATATAGCTGGAGAGACTAAGAGATTCAATAAGTTGATTCGATGATATTAAATCCTTATTTTTAGCAAATGCCAATCCACCCGTGGAGTATCGTCTACATTTAACGGACAAAATAACAAAAACCAACTCACATACGCATGCAACAAATAAACAAAAATAAAATTACATTCCTCTAACAGTGTGATTACAAATTACGTATTTAGTCATCACTTTTGTTATGCATATATATGTAACGCATAAATATACATAACAATTTACTTTTCTTATCGATATCGTTTATTTATACATTTTGTTAAAAAGTTAGAAGTATAATCTATATAAAATTACCTTACATATTTTTTTATGAATATAAAATATAAAGTAATCAAATCTTGCAAATGTATTGTATCACGTCACACTTTGAGGAATTGAAACGTAATCTATTTACGTAATCTATTTACGAGGTGTTATTTGACTACAGACGGTATGTGCATGTTATTAATTTAAACATACACATAAATATCTTACCCGAAACTAAGTTTAAGACTAGATCCTAAGCTAGAGAGGCTGGACGTTACACTATCCTTATTTTGAGACCAAAGACTGCTTATTTCCAGTCTCTCCTTTTCTCTCTCCTGTTCCCCTTGTTGCGCCACGGAGTGAGGCATCGTCTCACTCCTCTGCAAATGCCCACCCACCGTCATGCCACTTTCATCTACCGCTTGATGAAACGTCGCACTACGTGGGAGGATGTTGCTGTAAACACATATTTTATATATAGAGTGATTTTCGTACTTAAAATCATATATGCAAATGAATGCATATCTTTGAAGATCACAAAGCATGAGACACAACTGTCTCTCCACAAAAGAAATACTTTTATTGTGCTCGCGATTATTTTGATTACCAGTAACAGTCTCCCATTAAGTGGTTATGAATTGTATTTCATATATTCCTTTTTTTCTCTTAAGTTTATCTTTATTTTGAAAAAATATTTGTTCATATAACTTTTTCAAAAATTATTTTGCGATATACTACTTCTAGATTTGATTTTCGTTCTCGTTTAAATATTTAATATTTTACATACGAATACAATACGGAGTATCTTCATACCTTCTAAATAAGAGCGGCCCTCCTGGTCTCTCTTCAGTCGTATTATTTAAAACGGTTAAAGTACTTGTTGAGCAATTTGAATCATTCTCCTCGGAAGGCGACACAATCGGTGTTTCGTCATTAATGAGAGCACCCAATGGGTCATTTTCCGTAACTGGTGTGCGTATGGGACTTTTTAAAGGCGATTCGACACTGCGCGTTAGCCTACATGGAAAATATTACATCTACATAAGCCTATACATGCAAAAATTAGCACTGTAAAATTCAATAAGGAAAGATTAAGATTACGTAAGATTTGACAATGACAAAATAGTCTACACAATAAATACTCGTTTGCATCCGCTACTGTAATACTAGTAAAACAATATAATCTAAAGAACAAGCGGTTCCAGCGAATGGGGCTAACCTGAGAGCGACACTAACAAGTCCTAACAATGAATATATAACAAGATACCTTGGATTACTCGGTGTTTGTTCCAATTCATCCGATTGTAAGATACTTAATGTTGTTTGATCTTTCACTATGCTATTCTGTCGAAGGAGCTTAGCTTTTAATTCGAATGCTCCGAACCCGGGTAAATCTGACACAGAACTGCCTTTAGTGGCTGCCGCAAAAAGGAAAAAAATATTATTTATAAATTTTAACGTGATTTGTCATGTGTAAAAAAATCAATTTACAATCACTGTGCGCAGCTTCGGTATCCTGAGAATGGGAACTGTCGAGACTAGACCGAGAGAGCGCATGTTCCATACATTCAGTCTTATCGGTGGTTAAGAAGTCTACATTAGAGCTCAATCGTCTTCTAGCGCTCTTTTTTCCAGCTTTTTTAAATAAAGCTGCACCGACGATAACATTTCGTAATTTGTTCCACATTAACTGACTTGAGTTTGTCATATCCGAAGGCCAAGTTGCCTCGAGAACAGCCTGTAAATACGACGAACAATTAAATAAAACTCTCAAGATAATTATAAAAAGTTTTACATAAATGTGTTTTTTACGATATATTTACTAGTTTAAAAAAGATAGACAAATTACCTTATTGTAAAATCCGTATGTTAAAGCGTTAGGTTGAACACCACTGCGTTTCATATGGAATAATAACTTTACAGCTAAAACTGGTTGCCCGTATACCCCACAAAGTTGCATCATAGCTCTGTAGCATACCTGTAGAAATAACAAACATTCATTTAAAAAGAACAGATTTATTTTTCTTTAATGTCGAACTCAATATTTATACCTCTTCCATAGGATCAAGACGTAACTTCTGCATTTTAACCAATATTTCATAGGCCTGATGCAAAACTGCAGCAGGTTGGCTGGAAACTTGTAACATGGCCGGTAAATGCAGAAACCAAAGACTGTGACATGTACCAAGCAGGCATCTACCCCACCTGTCGGGCATTGCAGCCTGAAAAACATAACAAATCACACATGCACATTTGCTCATAAAAATTTACTTTTTCATATAAAGAATTATTTTATTTACTTGTTTTCGAGCCATCCTTTGAGCAACTTTGATTTCATGCTTCGTTCTACGAGCCATAGGACTTCCAGGTACCATACCGAAGGCACTTAGAGAGGGATTCTTTAAACAGAAATTCTTCTGAGGCCTCATTAGTTCCGGGTCCAACTTGAACGACTTGTATATTATTGGTGTTTGATTTGTTCCTGCTTCAGGTGGAGGTATAAATACTGTACGTTCACTATGTTGAGATTCATCCAGTTCCAAAAGCGTTACTGAAAATTAAATGAGGAATAAAAAATTACATATCTTATCCATTAATAACACAGAAAAATGTATCTTAATTTTATTCGTACCATTTTCCTCCTCAACTCGTTCTGTGCATTCATCGAAAAACGCTAACCCAGCCATATCCATATCAGATACGAAACTTCTCTCTTCTATGAACCTATCAATTTACATTTTTGTTAGAATAAAATTATGATTACATGTTATGAATAATATTATAATAGAATTGATGAGAAAAAATTAATTCACCTGATAAACATTTGCGTTCTGACAAGCATGGTGTAAAATTTAGCATGGGCTTTATCGCGACTTCTCAAAAACGCTTGGATATTAAATAAACTTGTCGGATCCGTTGTTCCTACAGTAGGCGCTTTTGTAATCGGTAACAGATAACTTCGATATCCTTTGAGAATCGTCGCCATGAATCTTAAGAAAGCATCCTGTATTTCAAGTTCTAAAGCTTGCTCCTTTCGTTTTTGTTGAAATTCCCTATCCACGCTGAAGTCTTCATCTCCTCTATCTAATATGAAAATAGTATATATAAATTAAAATGTTAATAGATAAAAAAAGGTAGTAAAAAATAAGTAAATAATAATAATAGGATATAAATAATAATACCTTTTTGGGAACAGCTAGTTTTTCCCCACGAAATTATCTTGGAGGACAAAAGCTCTAACCAATTTCTGAGCTGTCTAGCTGCCTTTTTAGGCAGTAATTTAACATTTAAATATTTTTTATCGTCACATATTGCAATGTTATTCGTGTCCAAATTTACACAATTGACGTCAGAAGGAGGATCATATAAATCAAAGAACCTTGAATCCACGCCGATCAGGAATGGCAATGGTGCATGCAACACCTGCAAATTAAATAATAGTTGTCTTTTCACTTTTTTGCACATAGTACAACAAAAAATGCAAATTTAGTATACGTTACCTCTGCTAATCCTAGAGGACACAATGGTATGTAAGGACATTGCCACTTAAAAGGAAACAGAATCATGGCAATGGCCTCGCTGACGGAAGTTAGTACATCCGGACGTAAGGAGTGAACCAATATTTTCTGCTCGGTCAATATTAATAATAGTATTAATAAACAATTATCAGGTCCCAAGTTTATCAGTAGTTGTCTGAAACTTGCGCCTGATCTAGGCAGAGCTAAATCCTCCGGTTGAGTCAAGATTAATCTATCCTGACTACTGAGCTGTACTAAGATTCGTGGACGTTGCGGACTTGGAAACGGTATGTCGCATAAAAAGTACGAGATATATTTCTCGATCGGGACACTCTGCGGCTTATCGTTCACCATGCGGTGTAGGAAAACCAAAAATTTCTCGAACGTGTCAAAAAACGGCCAGTGAGATAGTATACATATGGATTTACTAATATTCAGCGATTGGCTCGCAGGATCTGTGTACTGCAACCTTTCCAGTTCCAATATACTAAGCTTCTTGAGTATGCCAAATCTCTTAAACATCTTCATTTTCACTTGTGGCTTATCTTTAGTTATCTCCATATTATCTGAAACAAAAACAGGATATTATGTAATAAAGTAGGATACACGTGGGAATATTTTTTATTCTGTATTACATATGGATTCGTGATTATCTATAAAAAAAAAGTCAAACATTATAAAATTAAGATTATAAAAAATACATTTGTACCACTGTTTTTATTATTTTCAACTGTGTCCATGATCTCCTGACTATTTTTGCAGTTTGAAGTATCGAGCTCCATTTGAACTTCCTCGTAAAATGTTATTGCTGAACCATATATTTTTTGAGCAGCATCGGCAACCGTTAAGACAAACGTCGAGAATACCGGCTTAGGTTTACACGCTACTTTAGGCCAACATTCTATAGTCGCACCCATCGGTAGACAAAACATGGCGACAGAATTAGGAAAGACGAAACTGTTGTAATCTACCATGGGATATTTGTAGAGTATCGCTGGTTTAAATGATACTAAATTAGCGCGATTCATAGATTTCTTGTAGCACAAAAATACGTCGCTGCCCAGCATTCCTTTGTTCAAATTCTTATTAATAACACAGAAAGCGTGTGGCGGACTCTCTCCTTTATTTGTCAAGATAACACAAATATCTGTAACCACAAGGGAATTGCAAGGCATCTTCCGACTCGCTCGTCTGTATGTTACAAAAATTTTTGACGTAGAATTATTCACATTCGCCACATGGCCTTTAGGGGTCTCTAATACCATTTCGGCATCTTGCATTATACGTTCTTTTCCATCATATATTACACCTATAAAGTGAAATGACATTTAAATAATACAATTAGTAATAATTTCAGTAATATTTAGAGTCGATCATATATCGTCTCATAATGTTTGTTCTTTAATTTCATTATGACAGTCACTCGTATTACACTAAATTATAATACATATTAGAGGCTACTTTATAAAAAGTATTTAAATGCAATGGCGTAACATAATCAACTTTGACAATTGAAATAATACATGCATATGTAATAACATGACAATATCATTATTTGAATATGTAATATATTTATATATTTTTAACTTTACTTTTATTCCATAATATGTATATGCAGCTTTTAGTATATGCTAATACAGTGTAATGCAAGCGATTGAATTCACTAGATATTAATTTGATGTCCCTCTCTCTTACCAATGTCAACCAAGGGAGGTTTATCCCGCCCTCTTCTATAGCACAAATAACACTCGTTTGTTCGTAAACTCCCATGATTTAAGTCTGCTGGAAAACCGGATACCGTATATTCTAAGAGTGTATATCCCTCCGGACAATGTTCCCCCAGTGCAGGAAATATTACGGCAAGATCTGTGATAGGAGGCGGCATGTGCATATCTTTGAGATGAGTGCCTTCCTGACACCAAGCCTCCAGCTTGTCGTTAGTCTCATTATCTTCGCTAAGCTCATCATCCTGACCAGGTAGACCGGCAATAACAAAATAATCTGCTACCCTTCTGTCATCCATATTTTCTAAACAGTACAGATTACCAAAACATCAAAAATTCTTTTGGTTAAACTTTATTTTCCGAATACCTCATAACATAGGTATTAACGGCCATCAATCTTGTTGGCTACTGAGGACGTTTCTGTACATGGCACTAAACTGATTGTTCTAAAATCTCTCTCACATAAGTACCACTCGAAAGAGCATGTGATGTGTCGTTTCCTAACACGCGAGAAGTATTCTACCTTATATACCAACAAGGGCAGTTAACTCCTTAGATGTCATACTAATATTCGAAACATTGTAGTAACTGGTCCTGCGCTCCCTCATAGGCTTACAATCTTATAAAAATATTTTGTCTACCCATCAATACGGGTTTGCTGCAACGCTGGAGTATTTCTCGGCGCTAGCCTCGTGTTATTGCTCGGATAAAGCTCGATCGAGTCGTTAAGGTGCGTCACACAATCTAGAAGACGATCTCCTGGACTTGGAAACCCATCAGGAAGCGACGGATATACCTTGATTATCGTTCAAGCTCACTTTACGGAGTAAACGCACCTCGTTCCTCGCACATTGTCCCGCATCCTCACCTCGCTCTCGGGAATTTGTAAATAAATCGGACACGGCGTTCCTCGCGCGGATGCGTCGGCGTTCACTTGCCGACGTCGACGCCCGGCGGATCCGTCGGCCGTCGTCGCGATCGCATCCCTCCGTGTGAGGTGCGAGTCCCCGTTTGTTAGCTGTTGCCACTTCCTCTTCAGAACGGAGTCATAGGTTAGACGTCGCACACGCACACGCGACAGAGTTACACAAGCGCGGTCGCGGACGACGTTATCGCGCGTTGTCGTGCGCGACTGGCGCGGAGCTTGGCGGCGCCGCGGATACGGGTGGTCGACGTCGCACGAGTTCCGCAGTGGTGACGCACCGATGAAACTGCGTTGTTGCGTTGCCGTGGCCGGAGCGCACCTTCGCCAATCTTTCCAGGGATCGGCGGCGTGTGGTATTGTTGGGTAGTGTCAAATGGCCAAAGTTAGTCCCCACTGGCCCGACTGGCCGCTGGCAAAATGGCCGATGACCGTGGCGATGGCGCGGCTCCTTCGAAAGCGGTCCCGCGGCGCGGAATTGAGATTGGCGAGCGTGCTCCTCTCGCCGCGTACGACCGCGATCAATCGCGATAGCGCTATGCTCCGGGACGATGGATGTGTGGTAGGCGCCGCGTCTCGTCTGGTCTCACCTTGCATCCTCCGGCTCGGACAGCGCGCGTTATGCCTCCTTCTTTTCGTACCTCTGTGTTTCTCTTTTTTTTTCTCTTTCTTGTTTTTTTTCCCTTTTATTGGAAACGTCAAGCCCCCGGGGTCATTCGAATCGTTAGGAATAAACAGACGTAAACGAGAGCCAGGATTTCGAATGCATGACGTTCAAAGATCAATTACGCTAATTATGCGTTGCGAGTTCGTGCCTAAACGATCGCGCGCAGATTGCGACAACAGTTATGCGTGTATTCTCGACGCGCCGACGATAAAGGATAGGAATTTGTATTATGATTAACAAATCAGCTGCAGCAATTATCTTATAGTGAGATAGGGTGTTTTCCGTTTCACGCATGATGCGCATGATATATATGTATCATTTTATTCTTGTTATTCACCGAATATTAAAGAAGAATAAAACGCATCATGCGTGAAAAGGAATACACTCTTATTAGGGAAAGATAATTGATTATAGCAACAGATTCTCGGCATAATCTCACCTGTTACATTTTTTTCTAATATTTTATTTAAATTATTTCACTTTGTTCATTGAATATTATTAAATAATACTAATTTGATAAAGGTATTGTTTAATATTTTTAAATGTTTAATTAATTCAATGCAAAAAAATTAATATTTTTCAATATTTTAATACTTTTAGTATTTTTGAAATAAAAGTAAATAATTTAATGAATACCATGATACCTATGAAATCCGTAAATATTAATACTTATTTATGTAATATTTAATTTTATAAAACTAGAATAATAAAAAATATTGGAATATATTTTTTTACAAATTTTTTTTATCAATATGTACATTATTTTAAAAACAAATGATGTTTGACAAATGTCAAACTAGGATAACATGTTTGTGTCAGTAAAATAGAAAGCATCTAAAATATTCTTTTTATGGTCGACGTGCTTTCAGTATTTTATTTTTAACCTTTTACTGATACGTCAATATATACATATAATTATCTCCTTTTAAGCATAAAAAGAAGTGCATAAAAACATAGAAATATAAGTCTATGTATAGCTCCATTATTATGGTAATTAAATTAATAATCTTCTTTCTTCTTTTAAAAAATTATTATCTTTGTACGCATGTCTTGCCTCTGTATATTTATTCATTTTAGCTGCATCATTCAAATTTTTTTAAATAATTGTAAATATATATATATATATACATATATTTTATATGTTTACTAGAAAGAAACCTAAGAGAGATCATGTCGGATTTTTTCCTGTTACCATCGAAATCGCTCGTACACTACCACCAGTACATCCATTTTCAATTTAAGAATTACGTGATTATATACATTTTCTGACATTATCGATAAAATTGTATCGTCGAGAGTAGATGTGGTTCGTCTCTGTACTAAATTCTCTGGACAGAAGCATATCGACTATCCATAAGAGGGATAGTTTAATGAGTTCCTTGAACGAAAAAATTTAAATTTTACATCTCTTATGCTTGGTCTACAATAGACAGTAGTGGATTAAGGAGTAGACGTCGAAATCCAATGATAATTAATTATCCTTCTCACATTCGACTATAATTTATTGATTTCTACGCTTACTCTGTAATCGATTACTGCTACTGCCCATTATAGACGACGCACAACAAATGTAAATAAAAATTATAATAAACTTTAAATTTTAATAAACGAAACTGAAAATTTAAAGTTAATTTTGTGAATTTTGTCTTATAATATTTATCCTATATCTTATTATAATATAAAATTACGAAGTTTTGTTTCTTTATGCAAATTTTTAGCCTGTTTTTATCTAACATATAATTACTAGTATGTAATTACTAGCAATTATAGAGACTTTTAATAAATTCAATTTATTCTAAACATTATATATTGTTAATTTAAGATATTTAGAATATGATGAAATAAATTGGTATAAAATTACTTTAAAATTTTATACAAATTTATTTTTGCTAAGATCTTTTTTAGAGAATGTATATCATTATTTTAGAGAATATAATCACTTTAGAGAGTATATAATTATTTTATAGAACGTATATTTAAATCATTTTATTTAACAATGATTTAAAAATAATCATTTTTTAAATCATTGCCAAATAAAATGATTTAAATAATTATATGTTCTATAAAATAATTATATACTCTCTAAAGTAATTATATATATTCTCTATAGTATACATATTTATTAAATAAGTCATAAAGATTGGAGTTTTGACTGAAGCAATAGTTAAATATTTAACTTCTTGCTTGCTTTTTGACATTTACATTTTTAACGTTACAGAAATATAACTTATAAGTGTATCTTAGTGATTAATTATATACATCTCGCTATTCCTCGCGTCAATTCGATGCTAGTGAATGCGTGGTTCGTGTCGATGGAAAATTGTAATTATTTTCATCATAAAGAGTTATTCCTCATCGCTTTCCGTCGAAGGCCAATCGCAAAGTCTAATTTAGGTGTTCCATTGGAGATTCTTGTACAAGATCGGAATTAATCCCGAGTTTTCTCGTCAGTTCCTGGAAGTAATAATTTTATCAATGATTCAATAACAATTGTTACATATTTTAAAGTTAAGTTGCAAAATTAATTCAGTGGTATATTTTAGGTTACAATTGCAAAGAAATAGTTGTTTAGATATTTAATGCCATCAGTCGAAAATATTGATAGTCGATAATATATATATATTATAATATATTTCAATATATGTATAATCGATAGTCGATTATTTAATTTGGTATCTTACAAACTTACCCAAGGAGTTTTTTGATAGAGGATTATCAATGCATGATATTGAAGCATTTGTCGTATGTAAATAATAATAATGGCGTAGAATAAAAGTGAATGCTCCTGCTCGATCTCAGTTGATCTATCAATACAAATTACAGAGTGAGTTAGTTTCTTTATTTTACGATACTGTGAATGTTAAGATTTTATAGTAATAGCAAATACGACATTTTAACGTCAATGGGTGTTTTCCATTTGGTGATGTAAGTCACGTTCTGTTTTTGTTACTCGTTCATGGAATACTAAGAAAAATAGTTTTGTGTCGATTTGTTGACTAAATGGAAAGTCATCTATTCCATCCATTATCTCCGATACTAGTCGTGATTTATCGTAAGAGATTTTCGGAGTTAATCCCATCGGTAGTGGGTTTCTGTGCTTTTAACCTGTTTTTGAGGTTACACGACACCTTTTTAGAATTCTGAATATATTGTGTTATTCTCTGATTATTCGCTTTAATTTTTTGATATGATTGTAAATAATTCTGACTTTATCCCAGTGTTTTATATTGATGATTTCAAAGATGCCTTTTTAACCCTTTACTGCTGAGTCGTAGTAATTGCAATCGTACATAGATTTAACATAATCCTTGCATTGCAAATATTAACAGGTTCCTTATAATGTCATAATTCGATTCATATTTAAATTTAATATATGTGTAATTTTTATTTTTTAGTTTTCTAACTAGCACAACTCTACAATGTCGTCTTCATTTATGATATTACGACGTAGTATCGCGACTTCCTGTGTTTGCAATGGAAAACGGAATTTTCGCAAATTCTTATTATACGGTAAACGTGGTAGTCGCAACTTCAAACAACAACAAGCAAAAAATCCAGATCCTGATATACCAATAGATAGTAAGTTGTTAGTTTCAACACGTAACATTTTGGAGTAGGACATTATCTTGATCAAAGTCAATATGATCTGATTTTATTTGTATATAAAATATATTTCCTATATATAAATAAAGAGTCATAAATAAAGAGTAAAAGGATTATAAGTGATGTAGAGAAAGATTAGTTTATAAAAAAATTGAGAATATTATATAATATATTAAGTTACTATAATAAATTACAGAAAGAGGTGTAAGGGATACTGGATTTAAAGTTGGTAATAGATTTGTTCACGTGCCAGAGATGATTCCTGAATTAATTGTTCCTTCATTAGAAGGTTTCACATTGAAACCATACGTATCATACAGAGTAGAAGAATTTACAGAGCCTGAATTCACTGCTCAAGATTTGTTTGATGTAGTATATTCTAAAAAGATAGAAGAAGACTTTGCAAGTGGTCAGTTGGATGAGAACGGAAAGCCTTTAAATCCTAGTGAATATGAAAAGCTCACGCCGCAACAAGCCAAGGAGCAAGCTACAAAAACCGGCTGTGATCTTTTCTCTGAAAAGAAACCATTGTAAGTTCTCCTAGATTTTTTAATTTATAACACTAATGTAAATATAATTTCTTCTGTGGATATGTATCGTGTCAAAATAAAGAAAACTTCTCATGTTCGAAAACACATTTGGATCTCAATCTGTATATGTTTTATTTAGAACTCGCATGTATACATATGTCGACAATTTTGCAATTTACAAAAAGTAACTACTTACTATCGTATATGACTGTTGAAGTGATAGTATGTGCGCACTTTGCTAAGAATATGAAAAACGAAATTTATTACATTGTATATATGTATAAGCAACCATTTTTCAGGTCAGTTTCTTTCTTTATTGTTTTTTCTTTGTGACAAATTGTCTGTAATGGCAGTCAGTGTTTGATAGCAAATAATTACTTCCGCAAAACGGATTGTAATCTTTGTTTTTAAACAGATTACATATTTCTAAAACGATGGCTTACATATAAAACAAGTAGTATCACATGTAATTGTCGCAGAATCTTCCTTCGAAATCGTATAGTTATTTTGATAGACAGGTGAAATTAATTTATTGCTACCAAACTTCGTACTGGATTTCTATTTTATGCAATCCAAAAATTATGTGAGTCCAGAAAAGACAGGCATAAGAATTCCTAACAATGCCGAAATTGATTTTCAATTCCTGAGATTCATAGATACCTTGCATTGATGTCCGTTTGCAGATAGTGGATTTTGTTTGAGATTAGGCTAACTTAACAGTTATGTGTCACTTATCAAAAGATTTTTGAGCGAAGTTTGATTGTTTCCTGTCGGGTAAAAAATGGCGAAAAATTTGAATAGTAAAGTCGTTGTCAGAGTTGTGCGCGGCCGGTATTGCTTGCTACTGACTAGATCACTAGGTTCTAATATATGTATGTATATGTATATTGTTTTTAAAGTGCTGTATTCATATCAAATGTACAAACGGCTTCGTAATTATTATTGTTTCTCGTCAATGTCTCCTAATTAATTATAATTACGCAAGAAGCTCATAAAACAGAGCTATTGAAATAGAAGATATTCTGTTTAGACGAAACCAT